TGTCAAATCAATCTGTTTTAAAGTATCTCGGTTCTACAATCATACCAGGCGACCAGGATGAAATCCAAATTCGTGTAGATGGAGCTAGATGAGCCTCTCTGCAACTCCTCATATCGTTTTGGAATCGATGCGAAATAGGCTTAAACAATCAGCTTCAGGGTGATTAGGCCTCCATCCACCGAATCCTCATTATTGGTTGCGAAACATGGCAGCTGAGAACACAGGATACAAAGAAGCTGAAGGCGTTTAATCATTGGCGCCTACGCCGCATCTTGAAAGTAAATAGGAGAGGTTGGATTTGTAATGATGAGGTTTGATGACGCTGCTCAAACATCGAAACGCTTTCAAAAATGCTCAAACCCTGGCGCCTTCANTTCAAAAATGCTCAAACCCTGGCGCCTTCAGTGTTTTCGCCACGTGCTCTGGAGACCCTACACTCAAATCTTCAAGCAGACTTCAACTCCTGCACCGTGCCATAGATGGCGTTGCCAACTCTTTTCTCAACCGAAGTTCTGGAGTAGTACAATCAAGGGGGACATGGAATTACTGGGACACCAATCCGCATATGGGATTCGTAACAGGAACTAGGTGTCAAACTGCACCAACCATAGCCGCCGATCATCACGCATGAGCCACCATCATTAGAGGCATCTAAGAAGCCGAAATATCTTCCCACAGGAGCTGTTCGCTCAAAAGTAAAAGTAAGTAGGTAAGTTTCGTAATTCTCAATAAGTTTAGTACCATGGATGGTGAATTTAGAAGGATTAAAAGAGATTTGTCAGTTTCTCAGAGTCATGTGAGTGGTTTGCTTGGGTATTTTATGAGGTCAACCATTGGATCGTCAGTTTATTCTAGGGATTTGTAACACTGAAAATAATTTACTCATTTCAAACACATGCATAATAGCTCTTAATTTTGTAGTTTACTTTGCCTCGGCTTTGCAATAATCAATAATAATAATAATAATAATTTCTTTTACAGGTGTGACTTTTATTCAGTAGCTTGAAATTGGAACATAATGCTCTTGTGTATACATCATATTGGAATAAAAGCAGGAAGAGAAAGAGAAAAATGAAAAATAGCTTGAACCTGACGGAAATAAGACTGAACTGAACACTGATTACATTTTTCTGATCCGAATCCCCGTAACCGGCAAAAAAGGGAGGAAAATGTAATTCGTCCCAGTTCAAATTGTTTCACTCATCCAATGGTCTTCAAGGGGCTGCTTTTGGTTCTGAAATTGCATCACCGATAAACCTCAAACGTCGATTACTGGCATGCATGGGATAAACCTGCTGGTCAATCCCAATACAGCATCTGTTTTGAAAGCCTCTCATATTTATAGGGGATATTTTGAAAACATCCGATTCTTTCAGCTGCGATTCCCAGCACAATTACACCACAAATCTTCTCGAGTGAAAAAAATTGTTTTGCAAGTGCGTGGTTCGTGACAGACGGTAAATCACAGCTACAAAAGTATTCGAGACGGGAACAAGCTTTTAGGACAGCCAGGATACAATATGCGTTACTTATTTATAGCTATGAATAAATGTGGTCATGCATTTATGAGTGGTCATAAATACACAAAACTTTCCAGATACGATACTGAAATATCCATGGGTTGAAAGAATGTGGCAGGAAAGGCATTCGGTGAGGGATAACAAAGCATTTGTTTATTACACTTGATTGTTACCGCCACTCTTAACAGCAAAGTTGCACTGAGGTTTGCTTAGCGGTAGAAATGGTGCACTGAAAATCATAGATATTTGAAGAAGGGATCTAAAATTTTGCCACGTTTTATAGCAGCGATGGTTTTGAAATGCATTTGAGTTTGACGGTGTGCGTCGGAAGATTCGATATGATCAGGATTCTGTTTTTGATGTTGTCCGCCGCATCAAAAGCAGGCCTCAAAAACGGCTTATTTTTGCTCAGAGGATACTCAGTTTCAAATTATCTGACTGGATTTGTTGATCAGTTATCCTGATATGTACACTCAATCATGATCGTAACTTGGTATAGCGATATTCCTCTCACCTTCCTTCCATAATGAAAACGTTCGAATCGCTGAATAGATCACGCAAGCCTTCCAGGTTCATCATTCTTTGGTGAACTCATTACGATTCACTCACTAAAACAAATACACATGACACGCATCTTTATTTATTCTGCCCAATAAAGTTTTGGTACGTGTTGTCTAATGGGGAGCATAATTTGGTTTTGTTATTTTCGTCCTACCCACCCCCTGCGCTCTGTCATTTTGGTGTTTAATGAATGTGATTAGTGATGTTTATTGTTTGTACAGTTCTAACTTCCATAAACTTGCTTGAGTTTCCAGGAAACAGTTTTAAGAGTTTGTCATTGTTCGGAGATGACCACATTTGTTGAATTATCATTCAATCAGTTGAGCAATACACGAACGTACCAGACCATGCGCGTAGTGTTGCAATAAAATGAAACCGGTTAGGCTAGCTCGATGATCCTGGTAGTAACCTGTGGAAAGGGGGTGGGTGAGCTGGGAATGGAGTGTTGGGGGAGGGCTCGCAACCCTGCATCTCATCAGCTGTGAAAATCCATCGACCAAACTGGGAATCGAACCCGGGACATCACACGCAAGCATGCTACCCACTCGGTCACGGGGCAGCTGATCAGACCGTTTTTCATTTTCCGTGTAAATGACATAGCACACTGCATCTTTGCCAGCTTGTTTCGGGCCACGGATCTTGCTCATATCAGCTGTCCAGTGCTTCCTAGCCTTTCAGTTCACGCCTCACTTGTAGTATACACGACGAATTTCTCCTTTGATATTTCCCACTTGTCGCTTGTTCCATATTATGAGATGGTAATTGTTATTACTCACAAAAAGGCGTCAGTATACCTTTTGCTTTCATTGGAATCGATCATGTAATTCAATTTATCATGCGTAACCCGACATTTCTTGTAATCCAACGGAAACTGGATAACGATGACAGTTCAGTGACCGCGTTTACATCCGACCACAAAACGAGTGATTTCGGGTGAGTCCGACACCCGACTTTGGGAAAAGTATTTTTGATGTTGTCATTTATCTGTAACCTACTATCAAAATACCGTCTGATGCGGACAATGCATCAAACACAAATTCAATAAAGCGAGATTCGGCAGATCTACCGAAATGAATTATGTACAGTCGTGTTTGAGCATAAATGCTAACCCAAACGATCATGCATTAAGATGAATAAATGAGATAGAGAAAGAGAGAAAAAGAAAAGTAAGAATAAAATTTAAACATTCTCAGTCTATTCAGTTTGAACAGTCTGATCAATATCCCTTTTGAAAGCGCAAGCAACATTGGGAACTATGTAGAGAGAACAGCTGAATGATCAAAGTGAGGTTTTTACAGGTGTTTAAATGCAATGCGAAGGAAATGGGGACCATTGTGCGCGTTACGTGTTACACTTCAGTTGATGTCAGGGCATCTTGAATGGGAGAGCATGAGGCGGATCCGTGGTCTGTGTCCCGACCGTGCTGCTCAGTCTCTATTGAATTCGTCCCCGGACTTTGTGGATCCCCAGTGGACAACAAATTCGGTCTTGTGTAGACCAGATTGTGCACGGGTGAACCGCGCCATTCTTGTGTCGTGTAGGAGTCCGCTCCAGCCATATCTGAGTCGAGAATGTAGGCATTACATCGAAGACCGTTGTTAAACACGCTTTTTACCAAGTCCGGGGAAAACTGCAAAAAATAAGGAAAGATGGGCGGTTGATGAAAATCAGATGACAATTTGGGAAACTGTTTGGTGATTTGTTCACGGTAAGCATCCGTCATTTTGCGAAGAGATGATACACAAGATTGAAGACTAAAGGAAACAATCTAAAGGTGAAGACACTTGTTTGTGTTGCCTTCCCCCTCAGGATCTAAAGTAATGATGAAAAATCAACAATAAGATGTTTCTGTGCGCTATCAATCGCGCACCAGAACGTATAATACTAACATCGAGCGCGCAGTAGTCTCCCAAATTCACGTAAAAGAGCCTATAAAAATTTGTTGTCCAGATTCGGCAAATGTCTCTTCCACATACGAATGTAATCAGCATACACCAGGAATGAATTTCGTTAAGATATATGACGTGTGACTCTTATTCCGTATTTGCTAATCCTTTCCACAATTTCCTAAACAGCATTACTTAGGGAATGCATTTTCTGAATTGAATCTTTGATAAAGTCGGGTTCTGGTATTTTTGGTCGCAAGTTACTTTTATCAATTACAGCTATCATTTAAATAAAATTAATACCAAGAAGAGCTAACACGTTCTAAGGGCAGTCAGATTGACCTTCACAGTCGGTTACTTGCCGCAATGATTACTATAAGATAGTGCAATACTGTTTATTATTATTATTATTTATTCATCTGTTGGGCACCGGTAAGAGAAACCGTACAATCCATCCTGGTGCGTGATATCCTTCGCTATTCTTTTTCACTAACGTCTACACCAAACTCACGGAAAGTGACAAGATTGCATATTGCGGTGTGCAGCACCGCCTATCAGACTTCACCATCAGAGATGACATTTTTTTTGATGAGCTGCTTATTTTCTTAAATGAAATTCAGCATTTGAAATCATTTTCAGTTCGTTATCAAATGATGAAATGACTTCTACTTGTGTCTCAAAAACTGTTGCCAACCGGACACAATTCAGTTCGTACTTAAAGATTCAGCTTACATAAATCTCAAATTGTTTTTATTTGGGAAGTTTTTTCAGCTAGCGTGCGTTATACAGGGATTTCTCGTCAAGCTCCTTTTTGGGGAAATTTCCATCTGTTTATAGCAACAATCGAGTGGAACGTATGTGCCGCAAGAGCACGCAGCGTTCGCATATTCATCTAGTTCACAACATAGCTGAACAACGATTTGATTTGCTTGAGGAGAATATTACTTAGTTTTGTTTCGTTTTGCATGAGAAATTTTTGTAAAGCCCAACTATTTTAAACAAGTTTTGTCAAACCGAAATTTTATCTTCGTGTATAAGTATAGTAAATAAGATAAAAACTGAAGTGGTCTGAAAAATGTAAGTTTTATTCAGTTTGAATAAATGAGTTTACGAAGGAATATTCCGTAATAATCCACGCCAAAATAACTGTCTTTAGAATGGTTGTGCTTAATAATTCAATTAATGCGTTTTTGTAATGATAATGTTTTTTTCAACAGTTTAAGTCGCTTTGTAGTCGTGGGTAGTAAACGTTGGGCCACCACCTAACATATTTAATGATGGACAATTATGCTGCCTGTCAACTCAATGTCCTATCAACCTTCCGTTATATAATTACAATAATTTATACTAGAAGATTTGCTCGTATTGAGTTTGATCAAAATAACCCATGTATTTACAATGCCATGTCTGAGATGGATGATCGATAGCATCCGGAACCTCCTAGATTCTTGTAGGTACGTATCACTGCACGGTATCTCAATCCGTGAACCGGCGAGTTGTTTACTGAAGGCCCAAACATCAAGGTTGTCGGTAGCTGCCTTGAGTGCATAACGTTTTAGTCCCAATTTATGACCAATCCGATAGGGTATAAGAAGGCTATACAGTGTAAAATTACGATTTTGCCATTGCAAATAATACGCAAATCTGCGCTAAAACAAGGAAACTTCAGAGTTCAAACCAAACGAGAGAAGGAGAACAAACATATGCGAATTATATGAACCGTGATAAAACTTACGCATATTTTCTACCATTTATGTATCTGTATTGCTAGTGTCTCTTGTGATATTAATCGCGCAACTGAAGGAGATAATAACTATCCAAACTATTAATTTGTTGGCAATATGTTTTATTTAGCTTTGGGTGATGCACAGGAAATTAGCTGAAGTTAAAGCCCGCGAAACGTTTATTTGATAATGAGACTGGTGATGGGATTATTTTGTAATGACGACTGTCATTTTGTCACAAAAAGCACCATTTAAGTACCTCGTTAGATTTACTGGTGGGTCTTGTTTCATTGTTGTTGAATGTTCAAATAGAGCGATCACTTTACTCGCCTTTGTCAGAAGTGCTCCATCTAACAAGATTCGTTATTATTTTCCAAATTATTGAAATCCATTGCTTATCCTCTGCTTATTTCTTGAGTACCGATTACTGAATCGCGTTCTGCCCGTTTCTAACCCACTGTCTCTTCGCGCTTCGTTAACGGGAGCAGGTGTTCCGGTATTCGCTTGTTTTGGTCGCTAGATCTTTAACCAGCAATTAGGGAAAGATATTCCAAATTTGATATTCTATCTACCACATTCGAAGGGACTTTTTCGCTCATGACAATTTGGGCTTAATCGATCTGAAACAAATAATCTTAGTGCGTTTGAACATAACTCTTAATCGTTTCAGTATTTGATGTATTTATTATAACGTATTCTCTAAATTCGAAGTTGAAATTGCATCATCTCCTATGTGAAGGACATTTGATAGTTGAGGTTATTCATTGGTTCAGAAAACTGTTTACCCTATGGTGTCTTTATCAAGATAAAAGTCTTGTATATGTATCGCAACAAACACCGTCACCCGAAATTCAATGAGGAATTTGTGCGAGATGTGTGTTCACACCGCAACCATTGTCAAGTTGTAAAATGCACATCTTTCAATGATCCGTACATGTGGGCTCCAGTTCAATAGGATATATACCCGAACAAGTTCTCGTTGATAGGTTCTGAGAGCCAAAGAATCATACTCATGGACGTAAGTTGACTTTTCACTAGTGTTTCCATCACAAAGACCATTTGTGTGACCAAATCTGGGGAAATAATATCGAAATTGCAATACTCCCGGATGACTTGCAAGAGTTATGCTACTTCTGCACACAGAACGTTCAGGTTAAGTCTAGTGACAAGATCTTTTGCTGAAGGGATGCAGTAGCAGTGGGATCTCCGCTCGGTACACAGTTGAGCGATGCATTCAAAGCGGATATACCCACAGATAT